CCGGGGCGGCGTCGGCGGCTCCCCCCCCCCCCCGCCTCTCGGCCAGACCCGAAGCAAGGGGCGCGCGCGCAGGGAGGCTCTGGAAGCAGAAAGGGACGCGGAGGGTTAGCGGCTAAGTTCGTTAGTCCGACCAGCGCACGCCTTAATTCGGGATTTCGAAAGTACCGCTGTTGTGCTGAGCAGAGAGGATCTTCAGTTTTAAACCACAGCTTTTATTCCTTTGCTCTGCCCATCCTTTCCCAGTGCTGTTTAATGGAAGGCGTGAGGCCCTTCGGTCCTCGCCCAGGACCTTGCTCTTGCTGCGTGCCGGCGTTGGCTAACTGAGAGCTCAGCTCAGGACCAGGCGGGTCCCCTGCAGTGACAGAGCGCGTCGGGCTCTCACTTTTCGAGCGTGCTCAGGGCGGAGGAGCACGGCAAAGATGTTTATGGCTAGCCGACCCCGTCTGCTCGATTTCCCGCCTGCCGCTGAGCTGGTCCCCAGCGTCTCGGCTCCCCGCGGCAGGCTTTCCTCGCTGTTTGTTTTCAGCTCCAGATCGTCACTCGGAGGGACCGAGCTGTAGCTGTTACAGTCTGTTTGCTCAAAGTCTGCAGCATCTTAACTGAGCCTAGCGACAGATCAGCTGGGAACCACTCTCACTAGCGGTTCCTCCGAGGCAAAGAGGAGGAAGAAACCCCACTCCGTAAATGCCAGGAAGAAAATGCAGAATACAGGCGACGGAGAAGAGAAAGCCTCTGACAACCTACGGCCAAGCATCAGGTGCAGCAAAAAAACTGGAGACTCAAGCAATGCTTTCCGCCGTTCACGTTCTTCCCCCAAATCCACCTCCCCGACCTTTCCCCCTGCCCAGCCACGCTAACCGGGGCTCGGTCCCATCCCCTGCCGGCAGAGCTGGCTCCCGCAGCCCCGAGTTACGCGGTTCCCGGCACAGCCCCTGTCTCGGCCGCTGCTGGGACTCTCCTTCGCCTGGGCACAGACTCCTGCCTCCTGGCCAACTCCGGCGCTGCTGCTTCTCCCACCCCACGCTCCAGGGAGCTGAACTTGCTGTTTCTCCTATTTCTTCTTTCTTTTCTCCAGCCATCAGTTTTCGGCTTGCGTAACTCCCCAAGCCGGCTCCTGGCAGGCCGGGTGAGTCAGGGGCAGCGCAGGCCCCAGCTCCCTGCTTTGCATCCCTGGGAACAGCCACCGAAACCCCCTTCAATCAAGTCTTACAAAGTCAGAGCCCCCATAACTAATTTACATGGTCCCATGGAGGTTGCTGAGTGTTCCTGTGGCAGCAGAAAATGAATAATTCGGAATAAAGGTACTTTGGAAGAGCCCCTACCCCCTTTACGGTGTCCTTTATTGACAAAGGAGCCAGCACAGGCACCAGCACCGCCTTTGTAGAGCTCTAGAGAGCCAGGGATGGAGCAGCCATCATCCGGCTTCTCTGGGGTTCAGATGCAGGGTGCTTTAATTAGAAAAACTACTTATTGGTGCATCTCTAAGCAGAGGATGAGCCCAGGCAGCAGGAGACCCCCCGCCGTCCCCTCCTGTGCTGCAGCCTCGGCTTCGCCCAGCAGCGAGGTGTGGACACCCGAGGAGGAGGAAGGTGCCAGGGGCTTTGCCAAGAAGCCAGGGTCAAGCTACTCTTAATCTGCCTTTGGGAAGCAGCCACCCCGTGAACAGCTCCCCGACTAATCCTTCGCCCCGCGCCTGTGAGCTGGCTGCAGCAGCAAGGGAAGGAGGGTCACGCCAGGGAGACGGAGGGTGATGCGAGAAGTCGGTGTCTCCAACCCTTCGGAGCTGAATGCCAAAGCGGCAACTGCCACCTGTGCCCGGGGCCAGCGGTGATTAGAGGAGAGCACCACTCATTAAAGGGGCAAGCAGATGCCTGCAGGTAGCTCACGCGCCTGCTGAGGCAGCAGCCTCCCAAACACACAAGGCATCAGGCAGGTACATACGGCCGAGCAGGCAGCTGTGTTCAGACAGACACCGTTCCCAGTTCTCCAGCCACGTTTGTACAACAGCATCAGTCAAAGCCATGCTGCCTCTGCCTTGCTCATGGTGCAGCTCTCCACAAGGCTGGTGGCTATGGAGGACGCATACTCCTACCCATGTTCTTAAAGAGGGGGTCACGTTGTTTTCTCCATCATGTTCTGGGCTTTAGGGGCACCATTTGGTTGCAGTTTAAGCTATCCACTTGCTCTCAGAGCTCTGCATAATACTATCCACCACTGGCAGGCCTCTCCAGCATGCACAGGTAAGCTGGAAAAAAAGACAGACAGCTCTGCCCTTGCTCTTTTTAGCTTGCTTCAAGTCAGAGCATCAACACCCTTAGAACAAAGTCCTCCTAGCCACCTGCTCCACCCTTCCTTTCCCAGCCCACAGGCCAGGCCCAGCACAGACAATCTGAAACACAGGACAAAGCCCTGCGCTGGACCAAAGTCAGAGCAGCCATGCAGAGCCCAGCTCCGGTCTACATCTCCATTTACACTGAGGAAGCACCTGCGTCAGATTCTTTTTACCTGGTGAAATATGAGCGTTTCCAGATGCAGCATCAGCCTTGTCAGCAACGCACTACAAGGAGGTGCACGCAGCTGAGCTGGAGCCCTTTATGCTAACCCATTGGCACAAAGGAAGGACTTTCCCAGGTGATTGTTTCAGCTACATGTTCAGACATTGCTTTATCACAGTTTTAAGTTTATGGTTTTGGATCCAAGAAATAAAAAAATAGGAATTACTTTGCAATTCAGCAGCTCAGCATGTTAATATTAAGCAGGTGATCCCTACTCTGGCCACACAGTCAGGACTGCATGCCTCTTTGCAGGGCAGGGAGCACAACCAGACTTCACTGTCTAACTCCTTTTCCTAAGGAGACTGGAGAAGGACAGCTTAACTCCTGCTAGAGAACAAATCCAGGCCACAGGCAGAGCTTCTCCCAGGAAGCAGGTTTTCCCTTTCAGATTAGGTTCTGTCACACCTCTCTCTGCACCCAAGGAGGCAGAGCCCTGAACCACTCAGGTGCAGTTACAGGTTGAAGCTGGAGAGACTAAAGAGTGAAACCCATTACAGCAGCAACAGAAGCTGCCACCCCAAATCCAAGAGTTATGTTGCCCCTAAACACAGGGGCACAATGATGCTGTTCAGCATGGAGCAAAGCCCTTGGACAAGGCTTCAAGCGCTGAGGCTTGCCCTCTCCAACACCAGCAGAGCCCTCCACAACCCATCAGCAGCTATGAGGACAAGCAGTACTGAGTAGCAGTGTCCAGCAGCTCATTCTGAACATGCAGCACAATGTTTGTGCAGCAGTGTATCTGCCAGAGCCCATTCAAGTCTACCCTAGCCACAGCTGCAGGGCTACTGGAACCCCATGGAAGCTGTTCATAAACTCTCCTCACCCACCGCAGGCTGAACAGTGGAGAAACCTGAAGTAGCAAGGGGCTCAGACAGAAGCCTTCTCTCAACAAGAGGTAGCAACACCTACTGGAAACCTGAAATACAGGTCCCTCAGTCTCAACAGGCAGCTCTAGGCAGAGTCAGATCAATGGACTCTGAATTAGTGGATAGCATCTGTGAAGCTAAAGTGGGAGGCAAATTAGCTCCCATTTCAACAACTGCCTCTGACATATCCCTGCTGCCATCAGAGCTGATGTTTGCTCAGCAGCTCCTTTATCCAGGCCCAGCTACAAGCAGGAAGCACTGGGGACTGGGTGACAGTGATCCAAGTTCTCCTGACTTATTTCTTCCTCATGCTAGAGCTTCCTCTAGAGAGAGGCATTCTCACCTCCAGCAGAAGACCAAAACAGCTCTTGAACAGCTTTTTCTGAGCTATATTTCAGATACTCCAAGCCTAGAACAAGCAACCTTTTCAGCACAAGCACTGAGACAGACCTGGATTTGATGGTAACACCCTACTCTTTAGCAGCTTAATCTGAGTCAAGCAGTCAGCAGAAAATTTCTGCCCATGCTCTTAATCCAGAAAACATCACATAGTACACTTCTGCAGGGCTCTAGACATTACAGGAAAAACCTATACTAGTATTAGAACACCAGCTTGAGAAAAATCATAAGCAAGTAGTACAAACCCAGAAGTGTTATTTATTCATAGATTTCAAAAGTAAAAAGAGACTACATCTTTGTTCCTCTTGGTCTGGAGATCCCAGCTCCAACCAGCCACCTCCACCCAGCAGCTCAGTGCTTTCTAGTGCTTCATCTTCAGAAGTTGAAGTCTTGCTTCTCCACTGAGAAGTCATATAGTTGCCCATCCTGGTCAGTCCCAGGCTGCAAATCTGGATTCTCCTAGGAGAAGGTTAGGTGACCATCAGTTAAAGGTTCCACAGCTTTATAAGCCTAAGCTCCTCCCCCCTGCACAGCAGCAGCTTAGTGTTTTCCCTGTTTAAAGAACTGTTCTGCTTTAACAAGCTAGATCAGCTTCTCACTCTAACAAGGCCTTTGGGGACTAAACCAAGTCCTCCCGCTCTTTACAGAGTATATTGTCCCTGCAGCTCAGAGGGAAGTGAACAAGCCCACAGGCAGAGGTAAGGTGTAGCTGGATGGCACTGAATTCACTGAAATTCAGGAGCCTGCTTGTAACAGCAACAAGCAAAGACTGCCTTGCAGAGGAGATATTCCTCCTAGGACCCAGCCCTTTAGGCAGGTGCCTGCATTAGACAGCCTTCCCCACACCCTCTAGCAGGGGCATCCCAGAGGCCTTGGTTCTAGCCAAAGAATGAACATGGACACTCACTCCCTGCTGCTGCAGTTCAAATCCGAGTCTCAGCTCTGAGATCAGACAAAGCCACTAAATTTCTTTCCTGGTGTTTCCTCATCTGTGAGGCTAGGTCCAAGCATGGCATCTACATGACAGTTGCAGGACTTGCTTCCAACAAGCAGCTGACATCCTATATTCTTTTTCTAGTTCATTAAGATGGGAAGGGTCAAATAATCCAAAAGCAACCTAAGCAGTTATCAGCTGAGTAGGAGGCTTCCATTTATAAGGACAAGCTAACTCAGCTCCAAAGGAGGAAGCTTCTTTGTATTTAGTATTCATATGAGCAGTCACAGCAACTCCAGCTGATGCCAGTTTAAATTCCAGCAGCAAGATGCTATCAATGCATCCATTTTTGTTGTGCAACTAGTCAGCTGACAACTCAAGTCAGGGCTTCTAGACCTTTAGAGGCAGCTGGAATGAGCTGCAAGAACCCACTCTATTGCTATGGAAGTCTATTACCAAGAGCCTATTTCAGCATCCTTAAGGTCCCTGCTACATTCCAGTGTGCAATAATTCATATTTTGAGATGAGAAGCAGAACAAGGGTCACATACCTCACCAGCAAAGTATTTCTCTATGATACTCAGTGCAGCTCGGTAGACCATGTTGTTGTCATGGGTTTGCAAGGCTTCAATTTTCTCCAGACCATCAAGTTCTTCTACTAAGAGACACAGTCTTTCTGTCTCTCCCAGCTTCTCAGCTGCCTGGGAAGTTAGACAATCAAGGGGCAAATATAACCAAGGCTACCTCAGCTCAGTTAGACTTACTGTAACCCCAGCCTAACAGGGGCAAGTGACCATAGTCCCTTGCCTGTTTTGGGTTATAGCAGAGATCAAGGATCTACTACTGTGCAGATGACACTGTCTCTGCTGGGACTACCACATTGTGGCTTGACTGCTACCCAAACAAGCTAGCAAAAAATCTTCAGTTACATCCACACACTGAGAAGCGGCAAGTGTGACCTGCCACCAATATTTCATTTGCAAAAGCCATTTCACCGGTGCCATAGCACTAGAGGAAACAAACTCAGGTGAGTAGACTTATTAGCTGTCAGGGAGCTCAGCAGTCATGTGGAGACCCCTGAGACCACTTGTTTTCTCTGCAGTTAGATTTCTGCAAGACCTTCATTTCTTTACAGCTTGGGGATTAGCACATTCATGTTTTACTTTCCAGAGATAGACTAAAGTCATAGGAGTTTAGTAAGAGGAACACTTTAGGCTGTCCCAAGAGCTGGGCAACATTGAGCTCCCAAGAGGGAGCAAGAACAAGTTAAACACCACTAAGTCAAACAGTTATCCTTGCAAGCTCAGTAGTGTTCTAGGAGGAGCTGTTCTAGCCACATGATGCAAGCTGAACACTCACACTTTGCTCCTTTGGGGATGAGATGTAAGATCTACATCCCCAAAGGAGTACAAGAACTGCTGGAAGCAAGATCTTACCAGGAAGAGATTTGCAATGGTATCCAGGATGACCAAGATAGTTTTGCTATCTTTGGCTGAGAGTAGGTCAAGCAGAGGTTTGAGCACCCCAGACTGGACAAGTTCTACCACCTGCTCCACAGTGCCTCCTGTCGTGAAGTTGGCCACAGCCCACACAGCCTCTTTCTGAGCTTTGAAGTCTCCCTGAAAGAGCAACCACAAGAGAGTGCAGCTAAAGCTTGGGCTCCAAGAAGAGTATGTCAGATGAGGACTAGCTGTTTTCCTTTGTATTGAGCTTGTACTGGGCCACTTTTCCAAGTGCTTTGAGCACTGGGTAGACACCTGACAGGTGTCAGGAGTAGCTCAGAGACTTGTTAGTATCAAAGCGTGGCTAAGTGTTCAGGCTGTTCTAAGCCTTTTGACAATGTTGAAGCAGATACCACATGCCCAAGAGCCACCTCAGAGTGCTTCACAAACAGAGCATCACAGATTGATTCGAACATTGTTTCGCAATAACTGCATGTACAATGCTGTGCCCCTGCCTCCTACCTTATCCAGCAGCTCCACCAGAGGTGGCAATAATCCACAAGTAATGAGTTGCTGGATTTGCCGACAAGGCCCTGCTGCAATGTTACTGAGAGTCCATGCTGCTTCCTTCTGTATAGTTGGCTTTGCATGTCGCAAGAGATAAGGCAGGACAGCCAAGACACCAGCATCAATAGCTGCCTGGGTCTGTTCATCAGTCCCTGTGACTACATTCCCAATGGCACGGAGGGCTGGAGTCTAGATAGAGATTAGGACAGGTGAGGAGGTTAGAACAGATGAGGAGAATCCTTATCTCAAGGGATACCTGCCAGGAAGTCCAGCAAGGTCAAGTGCTTGATCCTTCAAATGAGGAAAGCATAGTGGATGATTACTGTTGTATTTACTGACCTACTGTCCTCCCATTTTGCTCTAAGCAACTTTACATTCTCTATCCAGTCTGCCAGTCACAGCAGGTTGGTACAGAATATTAACTTCACCAGTAACTGAACTAATACTGTAGTCCAGAAAGGCCACACTAGCCACAGACAGTAAGGAAACATGCCTTTTCCCTCCTTAGATATACTGCCACTCTAGGAAGTAGGTGCTTCCTATATTAAGGGACAGATACAGAAACTGAAGACTGCATTTCCTACCATAACGATCAACTCTGGGTTGGCCATAAGTTCCACCAGCCTCGGGAGAATCCCTGTATCAACCACAATTTGGATGCGATCATTGGAGCCATCAGTCAGATAGGACACAGCCCAGCAGGAGTCAGAAATTACGTCCTTGTCTTCGTGTTGCATGAGGCAGATGAGGACTGGCAGCATCTTCTTCACTGCATCCAGGGGAGGGTAGGGATTCTTGTTCCTACAGAGGTTTGACAGCGTCCATGTGATGTTTCTCAGGAACCCAACCTGAAATACAAGGGAGTCTCATAAAATCTTCCAGTCCACAGAAACTTACTGGACTAATGAGTGTTGACTAATGAGTGTTGAAGAGGTAGCACCTTGCTTCCAGTCCCTACAACTCAGATGTTATCAAGCAGCCAGTACACTTATGCTCAAGTAGCCAGAAGGCAGCTTCTGTAATGAAGGGGTGAAGCATTTTTTTGGATGAGAGATGAAATGGGTAAGAGACTAAGACAGTCAGTTCCCTACCTGCCCCCAATGTTGAATTCCAAAAACTTCAGGTCTGGTGGCATGACAAGCTACAAAGATGCCAAGCAGCTTATCTGCTGGGACAAATTACAGACCATTCCTCAGACAAAAATGTATTTTAATAGTAGCATTAATTAGAGATATTGTTCTAGCACAGGTCACCTCAGGAATTTGATTAAGGGCATTGTTCAGACAGTTTATCCTAGTAAGAGGGAGTCAGACGCTCCAGGAGAACAGTGGCAACTAGGTTCAAAGTATTGCCACTACCAGGCTGCACATATGAGTTGATGTTGTCATGTTTCACAGGGATCCCTAGGAAGCAAGATGAAGTCAGGCTAGGAACAGAGCAGCCAGAAAGGTTTTAACATCTTACAAGGTAACTCAGAGGGCCTAGAGGGCATTCGCTAACACTACCCTGAAAGGCCTTAGTTATGCCTACAGAAAGCATACAGTACAGCTTCCACCACACCCATGGGATAGGACAGGACACCTGGAAGCATCAGCACCACTGTTAAAGCCCCTCAGAGCTTATCTCCATCCATCTTATGCTTCTCTGATGTTCAGCTTCCCCAGAGACAGAAAACACTATGAACCAACACCATTGCAGAAGGGCATTGCTTTAGGGCAAGTTTAGCCCTTCCATATGGAAGTCTGTCTTGCACCAGTTTTACATTTGACCATTGTAAGCTAGAAGTAACCTGGAAGGGAAAGCTAAAGCTAGACATCACGTGAGTTTGAAGACTAACATGTCTGCCTAGTATCCCCAAGTTCTGTATTTACTTCAGAGGCAGGGTCCTCAAAAGCAGTTTAGGAGAGGGTCTCATTCCGCTATACAAACAGCTTGCTATTTGTAGCAGTCAGATAATAGGTCATCACCATTCACCCATTACCCAAGTGATTAACAGCCATTAAGTCAAGAAAATAGAGGTTATTTACTGGAGTTACAGGTGACACCAGAGCCAGCAAGGGAGGAATCACATTGCAATTGATAAGGGCATCTCTGTACAGAGGACCATCACCTGTACAGATGAAAAAGGGTCATTTGAGTAGATGTAATAAATGACAAGACAGTCAACATCAAACAGCAACCATACCTGCAGCCACAGGCCAGTGCTGGGGGACTGAGGCTCACTTACCAGCCACATACCACTAAGTATTTTCAGGGGGAAAAAAATTACCAGGTAAACCTTAGAGCTTTCATAGCTAGTTTGTGCCAGTGTGTCAGAATAACCAGATATGATCCACCCTGTTTTCCCTGCAAAGGCCTCAGAGCATCCAGCAGGACCAGCATGAACAGCTAATGACAACAGTGGCTTAGACCATCCCAGCAGGATGGAGTCTTGCTTTTGACTTTAACCAACATCCTCCAAGATCCTCTTGCAGAACCAATACAAGGTTTTAAAGGCTGCCAAAGCCACATGAAGGGACTGAAGGGTTTCAGGAGCAGCCACAGCTTGGAGACAAGGCTAGCAGTTCTCTCCCATCTTTTCTTGGGGAGGATCAATATTTAGTGCCCCCAGCAATGGGCTGGGCAATAACCCTCTCCACACCCACAAGCCCAGGCCTGGAGACCTTTGCCTACCTGCTATATTGCCCAGTGCCCACACAGACTGCTCGCTGATATGCATGTGTGGGGAGGACAGGAGGGAGACGAAGGCTGGGATAGCACCTCCTTCCACCACTGCTCTGGTGTGGTCTGAGGTGCCAGATGCTATGTTAGTCAGTGCCCAGGCCGCTTCGAACTGCAGAGGAGCATTGTCAGCACGGGTTAAGAATTCAACCAGTCTGGGGATAATCCCCAATTCAATGATCTGATTGAGAGGTGGGTCCCTTTGTCTGGACAGCATTCTCCTGCAAGAGACACAGCCCATTTAGTGGCACAGAACAGACCATAATCCCACAGCTAGGCATAAGGTCCTGGCCTGCAAGGGAAGCAGCAGCTACAAGAGATGCTAGTTCAACATCTTATGTCAGCAGGTCTTCTGGTGGAGGAGTTACCATAGAGAGATTTCTGCAGAAGAAAAATCTAAAATGCTGAGGCAACAGCAGATTGTCTGTTAGAGTGCAGTACTGCACGTGTCTTTTTGGAACCAACAGAACATCACTCCATACTCCTCTTCTTGCAGGAGTTACTTCCTTAAGACAATGAATAAATAGATTACATGCAATTTGTTCTCTCCCACAGCCTGCAAGTTTGCCTTCATTTCTCAGTTCAGGAGCACTGGCTAGCCTTGCACAGACCAGAGGTCCCATTTAAAATGAAGTTTCACAGACTGCTTTTCCAGCTATAGCTTAAGATCCAGAATCACCAGTCCCATGCTGTTGTTCTTTGCTGTTTCCTGCCTCACACAGGCCCAGAAGCACATGCAGTCACCAGATAGATGAGGTAAGAACATTGATCTAGTCAAAGCCAAAAAAAGCCACTTTCAGCCAGATCTGCTTCCCAGCCTGGTTTGCTCCACAGCCACAAATGCTCATGCTGGCAGAGGGTAGTGTGGAGGTGTAAATCAGTGGCTTAGAGCTGCTTTAGTGCTGCCACTGGATATCTTGTGGTAGGTTGGTATGCTGTTAAGGGCACCCCAGGCATATGCAAACTTGGTTTGAACAGGCAAAAAGCCAGCTGTTTTATATGGCTGATTAGCAAGCTAGTTGTGACTCACCCCTTTAGGAAGGGTTCACATTGGCCAACCCTCAGTTAACACCTTCTACAGCAGGCACATTTGATCTGTTCTCTGGGGCAAGAGGCTGTGGCTTCAGCTGCCAGAAGCTGATGTCTTCACAGCCATTAGAAACAGCACTGATCCCCCAGCACAGTCAAATCACTGATCTGGCAGCAAGAGACAGCTAAGGAAGCACTGGGTTTGCTCAGGAAACAGCAGCAATAGCAGCTTCTCCTTAGCCTTCTGGAGAGGGAGATCTCTGCTGCAGCCGGGGGCTGAAGGCACTAGCCTTCAGTTCTTCCTGCTGCCACTCAGATCAGGACACCCCTGCTCAATTGCATCCCTTCATAGGGCTGGTCTCTCTAGCCCTTGTTCTGATCAAGCCTCTGGCATTTCATTTCTTCCTAATGATCTCATCCATTGACTGAAGCTAACACTCCCTGCCCTGTCTGCACAGCCAGCATAGGGCACAGCAGTTCGGGTGGTAAATCCAGGGGCTACTGCCAACCCTTTGGTCACATCTAGCCTCACATTTCATTAGTTCCTGCCTCCCATGAGCATTGCCCAGGACTGCAGCTGAAGCCAGCAGGCCACACAGGGCAGGCTGCAGGGGTTCAGGCTTCTGCTAAGGTCCCTCAGGGCAGTCTGGGTTACTGGCCCAGGGCTCTGTCCATATGCAGTTCATATCTTCAGATAGCTCTTCAAATACAAAAAAATGCCTTCTGCCTACAAGGCCCACCAGTCAGCACTGTATCAGCCACATCTCTCCAAGTGGATAGCAGAGCAGTTTGGCAGCATACCTGGTTGCCTGTGTAGCCTGCAGCTGTAGCTCAGTATTGCTCCCATTCACAGCTTCAACTATTTCCTCCAATGACAGCTGAATAACCTGTGTCATGGAGAATGATTCAGAGTCAGAAGGTAAGCCACAACTCCCTCCAGCTTAATCTCTGCAGTCAATCAGCTGTCTAGACCCAAGCAAGTCAGTCACCACCTTATATCTAAGCAATGTCTATTCTTTATGCAACACAGTAGAGATGAGGCAGAGGAAGAGAACCCACAAAAGCCTTAGAGGCAACTAATCCTTATAATCAAGCATGGAAAGAAAGTCACCACTGCACTACCAGCTTGCTAACTACCCCTCCTTGCACAGGGAGCCAGACTGGAGGTTTACCAGCTCTCAAGGGGCTGGAAGTCCAGTTCTACCTGTCATTGAGGGAAGCCTCATGAGATGTTTTCCATGCAAAATAACCCAGAAAGAGGGAGAGGCAGTCTGAAATGCAGTCCCCAACACTGGGCACACTGATCAGGAATAGCACTAGCTATTTTACCCAAGTCATTTGAGCAGGACTTGATAAGCAGCCCAAACATTGAAGGGACATTAGATGAGATACTGTACAAGCTGTGCACTGTAGTACAGTCCTGTCCAGGTGCAAAGCATCCAGCACTTACTGCATTCTTCTTCTCTTGTCCTGGAGAGAGACTCTCCTCCATGGAAGTGATTGAAATGCTTCTGCGTTTCAGAATCTGCTCATCCTTCTTGGCCTTCCGAAGCTCTATGTTCACCTCCACTCTCTGCCTCCTAAGTGCCTAGGAGAGGAGAGGGGCACCATCTGCTTTCAGTATCTGCACCACCCAGCTTCCCTAGGCAGCTCTCCTCCTGCCCTATGCTCAGCTCCATAACACCCTACCCAAATTCCCTTCATGAGGAACACAGAACCAGCATTTGCTCTCAGGTAGTTCTTTGCTATGGCCTGGAGGGTTACACAGGAGACAGAACAGAACAAAGTTGTCTCGCTTGCTGCCTCCCAAGGGTTCTGGAAGAACTTGCAACCAGTGGTTCTTTTAAAGAAGAGATTTCCTGAACCTGAAAGGCAAACCCTTAACTTCTATACTTGCTTAGAGGGCAAGCTAATAGATCAGTCTGATATCCAGCACCACCCCCTTTCCTACAGGACAAATTGCCATTCAGCACCCTTGCAGGTTGTGGCAGGATCTTCTCTTCCTGTTCCAACACCTTCACAGGCTCAGTTTAGAGTCACCTACCTGCCACTCATCTCCCACATACCTGCACCACTGCTCTCCCCACAACACAGACTATGCAAGCTCTATCCTGCAGCATATCACATCTAGAAAGTGAACCGAGTATCCCTTCTGCCAGAAAAGCTCTGTTCCCTCTCCCCCACCTCTGCTGTCCTTTACAGCTAGGTTTGGGGAAGAATGCCACACTGCCATTCAGAAGCCTTAGTGTCAGCTCCTACCAAGGAAGGAAGGGCCCTCAGTCAACTCTGCTTTTGTACAAAGAGTACGGAAAGACTGATGGGAAGTACATACTTACAGCTGCATCCTTGCCTCTGTTTTTGAACTTCCTCATCCGCTCACCTTGCTCATTCACAATTGGCATCTTGACAGAGTTGATCAAGTTACCAGCTGAAAGCCTCCACCTGCTTTTGGGTTCAGGACAGAGTAGCATCAGGTCACAACCACACCAGCAACATCCACCTTGATCTACAAGCCTGCAAACCTCAGGAGGCTGGGGCGGGGAGGAGGGGTAGTGGTGAAGCAGTTCCCATCTACTGCCCTGAACAGCCTTACTCTTCAGCAGCAAGGGTCAAAGCTGAAGGCCCTAAGCAGAGCTTAGCTCTGCATGCACTGCAACCTGAGCTACCAAATTTGACACTAAATACAAGCACAAGCTATCACTTAACACCAGGCTATGAAAATCATGACTGTCACTATAGCCACATGAAGCAGACTCACGAGAGGAACCAGGCCATATCACTTCTCATGGTTACAGTAACATCACTTTCCTGCAGTTCTGGATCATGCCTTTAGGTCTGTTTAGGCAGAGGCCAAATCTGGCAGGAACAGCAAGGCCTTCTGCCTTTGAAAGCACCAGCTTAAAGTCCAATTTAAGGACAAGATGTAATGCATACAAACCTGCCCTTTCACACACATCCCAGCTTAGTTTCCTGCACAGATGCTAGGACTCTCCCAAAAGAGTCCCCCCCCACTAGAAAAACATGTGGGGCTACATACAGTAAGTGCAAGGAACTCTCAGCCATCACTAACCCAGTTAGTATTAGGGATTGTCAGACACTAAACATTAGAGAGGGACAGGTAGAATCATTTCTAAACCCACTCAAGTAGGGAAGAGCCCAAGGGGCCACATGCATACACAAAAATTAGACCAACACTAGGCCTTCAAGCAACTTTTGTGAGGAGGAGGGAGAATAGCAAAGGTACCACCCAAAAAAAGCAGTGGTGTTCTCAGATCAGCCAGGAGATACCTCCAAGTGCCTCCTAAAACCAGGCTGTTCCTAAACACTCAGAATCTGGTCTCTCACAGGTGGTGCATCTTTACCTGCCCTCTAGGGTTACAGCAGGCACCTGTATTTCAGATCAGCCTCCAAGAACTCTTTATTTCCCTTTTCTAAAGCGAGGCCTTTTCTGCACCCTCCCTCCCACCACTTCCTGACACAGCTGCACAAGGAACCCAAGCAGGGATATCAGTAGCATTAGCTGTTTACCAACCCAGCAGCCAGTCACCAAGGTCACTTCATTGACCCACAGAAAAGCCAGGACAAGCCAACCCTTGACTCAAGCATCACAGCAGGGACACCACAGCCTGGCAGGCCATGCAAACACCAGGCAAGCAAGAGACCCAGCACAGACCCCAGACTGCCAGCTATGTCAGGTGCACAGCCCCACAACCTTCCCCTCACAGGATGGGACCAACAACCCCAGCCCACCACCAGGTCCTGCTAGCCCAGCTCCATAGGGGAGAAGGAAAACTGACCTCCCAGCCCAACCCTAGTGGCTCCCCAAGGAAGAAGTTACTCACCCCCAACCTTCTCTCTATGCCTTCCAGACCCCCCTCTGACTCTTTTATCTCCCCCTCATGGAGCCACAGCACCCACCAGCTCTCCCCCTAATTGGCTGCTCCCAGGCCAGCCCCTCCCTCAATTACTAACCATTAATTTTCCATGGCCACACCTGGGTGCTCCTCAACAAGGAGCACAAACGCTCTCCTGCCTGGGCTGCCCCGCTCCCATCCACCCTGTGCTTCCCCCTGCTACATTTACACTTTGCCTGTTTTGGCCCTTTTTGCAGCCAGCCTCCCCACAGAGGGAGCGGTATTTGCTAAACGGGTAGGGAAAACAGCTATTAAAATATTTAATTAAAATCTAATTTTATGTTACTTAACGTCCTTTTCTGCGAAGGAGACAGGAAGAACAGTAACTCAGAGCGGGCTCCGGGGCTTGCGGTGGGAAGGTGAGAGCGGGTTGTTGCTGGGAGTCAGGTGGGAGCGCTGGGGTCGGCAGGCAGCACCCAACCCCAAGGTTTGCCCCCTTGGCGCCCAGCTTACCTGGGGGCACAATTTGGGCCTTTATATCCTGCTAACTGTGTATCATGAGAGCTAGTTTAAAAGAAATCATATGAGTTACAGGGAGCAGCTATTTCACTGTGCTGCTATTTCCAGCCTGGAAAATACACTATACAGTACCCAGGCTGCTTTAAATCATAGGTTCAAAGCCCGGGAGGGTCATGCCAATTCTCCCTTTCAAGGTAATTGAAACAAGTTGTACAAAGCTTTGTCTGGGAGGTACCTGGGGAGAGGGGGGGTTGAGAGAAAATCTGCAGATATATCTGTTGTTTGTGGACATTAAAAAGCTAGTTGTGCTATTCCTAAACGCTGTATTTTTAAGTTGCAGGCGCCACTGGTTGCGTTCGCTTGTTTCTTGGCTGCTTGAAACAGAATTACATTTCAATTGCTTTTTAATTCAACTTAATCTGGTGCAAAAGTTATTGTGCACCCTCTAATTTTGTTTTCTGAGTGGTTTGTTTCAGTTAATTCCTAATCAGCCAAAGCTAAATCAAAACAGGCCTGGTTCAAGCTGAAGTGGATGGGTCCCTGCAACCTTTCCAAGCAGTTTAATTAAATTGGCTTAAAATCGCCCTGCAAGATAAGCAGGGGCAGCCTCTTGCGCAGGGCAGTGCCGAGCAGGCTGTGCGGCGAGAGCGGAGCCGTTGTTCTTTTGCCTTGAGAGCCTTCTCGCTCAAGGTGCTGCAGGATATGAATGTGTAACAAGGCTGCGATAAATTTATTGTTATCCTGGGCTGCTCTTTCTCTTTCTGCCCTTTCCATTTCCCCTCCACACGCCAGGTGCAATCAGACCCGTCCTGTTCAGGGCTCTGTCACAGGGAGAGAGGGAACACGGAGAGAGAAAACACGTGCAAGTTGATTAACAAGCTCCCTCCCCGTACAGTGCTTCAATCACTGATGGCATGAGAAGTGGCACTGCCAAGCGCTCGACCCGCGAGCAGGCGCAGGATGAGCGAAGCTGATCTCAGCTTGTCTTGAGGACACGGGCAGATCGATATTTGCCAAATGGGAAAGAGGACAACCGCTGGAGGAAAAAATGTTTCAGTGTTCAGTATAATAAGAGGGTATCACAGCTAATGGAGAGGAAAGGAGATAAAACCCTAAATCTACATGACAGTGTCCCCTGAGCTCAGCCTTGTGTGCTCAGGCTGAAAATCCACATCTTGACAGGTATGAAAAGCTGCAGTTCCAGTTTAGAGGTTTTCTTTGTTGTTGGTCTTTCTCACCCTGTAACCCTTTGTCAAGCGCTCCCACCGTGACACTGAGGATTAGTTAGGCTGTGACTGGTGGCAGATATGAAAACATCAGTTTTAAGCCTTGAGATAAAAGCGTTGTTTTTCCCTCCTCTGTTTTTTCACGTCTCTTTAATAGGCTTACCGTCAGTGTGTGCAGCGAAAGGTACTGGTCGGGAAAGATGTCAGTGTGGTTTCTCGGCAGTGGGGTTAGATGATGCAGGCACGGCCCTGGCTCCATCGCACGAGGTTGTACAGCGACAGCAGCTGTTCGGAGCAGTCCTTTTGCAAAAGAAAACCTCATCTGGCAAGGAGAAAGCAAAGCTAGGGATTCTTGCCAGCTCTATGAACGTCTGCTCTCAAACAGCATATTTTTTCACTCAACTCTAATGTAGTCCATTAAGTTAACATCAACTAATTAATTTTACTTATTAGTTACAGCAATACCAAGGAACGTCAACCAAGACTGAGTGCAGCCCTGCTGCATTGGTGCTACACGCACGCTTCACAGCAGAGCCTTTAAAAGCCCTGTGCCAGCTGTGTGGGGAGCGGGGGGAGCCTGATGAAAGTGCAGCAGCGCCGAGGAAAGCGCTGAGTGCCATGGTTTCCCCTGGTACGGGTGATGCTGGCGGGGACCTGAGCCAAGAGAGGCACCAGTGGTCTGCGTCGCAGAGCAAGCAACCAGATGCTTGCTTGTGGGTTGTTGCTGGGGCAGCTGCAGTTGTGCTTCAGCCTGGTGTAAGCCGAGGTGAAACAAGACGCGTGATCCCACTCCCCTTACCCACGTGAGTCACTGCCTGGATTGTCAACACGCTGGTGAGTGCAAACAGGCTCGTTTCCTCACGTATATTAACCTTGGGACTGAAGCATGAGGGTGCCTGATGCAGAAATATCCGAGCGGGCTGCCTGAACCGGCTCCGCTCTGCACACCGCAGAGCCGCTTTCACACCAGGGGACCATTGGTGGATGTGGGCCACCGTGTGACCAAACCTAGACTGCTTCTCAACTGGGCCTGGTACATGCACACGGCTCTCAAGATATTCCCACACCCCGATATTCATGCCTGCCCAGGGCAATTCCTAAGTGTGGCGAGGACAGAGCCTGGAAATTCAGCTTCCTCGTTTTTCGGTTGGGACGTGTCCTCCTTGGTACACAATCCCAGAGGGAGGGAGGCAATGCTGACTTTGCAGCTTGTACCGATTCCTCCCAGGGATTCAGCCGTCATGCAGCTGGTGACCTCCCCACTGCCAGCCATTAGATTCATTTCAATCCTATTGTTACTGTGGCAGCCACAGATTTGAGTCAAGATCAGAGCTCCATTGTGTTAGACACTAAACAAGCACATAATAAGAGACAGCGCCTGTCCGTTACAGTCTATCTAATCAGGACACGCAGAAGGTGGGAGAAGGGATTTATTGTTATCCCTATCTTATTGCTGAGCCAGTGGCAAAGCTAAGCACTGCAGCTGGATTTCCCAAGGCTCAAGGTGCAGCTTGCTGTTACCCCTAATTCAGTCTAGCTGACCCCAAAGTGATCCTGCTTTCCTCTCCCTCCAGTGGTGCACTCCCCCCTACACACGCGCACTCGCACATGCACACGCGCTTCTCTGCAGCCAGGTTGCTGTGGGATGTGTCGGTTCAGACAGCTTTCAAAAGGAAACAAACCCATCGCAAGAAAGAAAGAAGTATGATTTTCCATCATTTCGGTCAAAACAGCTCATCCCGTGGCCTTGAAGTTGTTAGAGCCGATACATAAGGAAGGAAGGTGTCACCGAGGGTGGCTGGGAGAG